ATAATGCACATAATATTGTCTATAACAATTCCACGTTCTTATCATTTTATTTTATCCCTAACTCAGTTCCATTTCCCATTTCATTTGATTATGTGTTCCAAAATGCATAACTTTACATTTATAGCTATCAAGCACCAAGGTTTAAAAATATTGCTGCCCCGGACACATTTTATACACATATTTATACAGAGGGACAGGGGGTTTTCCTTTACGAATATGACTGTAAAAATATTTCATTATAGTTATTGATTAACCCTGCAAGGGTTTTTTTATTCAAAACTTATTTTATTATTTTGTTGTGCATTCAATAAAATACATTTTGACTTGTATTGCCACGACAGCAACGACAAGCCTGGTAATACAGACAGTTGACTCTGTACATGGCATGCGATAATTCTGCACATTTTTAGAGTATACAATGAACAGGCTAAACAAACATTTCTAGGTCAGGTTGCTAACAAGAGGTAGGTGCCTATTGTAAATCGACATGCAAGGATTAAACATACAATTAATGATCAAGCTTTTTATGATGTAAAGCAAGCTGGGTTATACAGGCTAGGTTTTAAAGGTGGCACGAAGGACTAACTCGATATGTTGGATTACAGCTGTGTACATTGAGCCATATATATGTGGAAAAGCGGGTACAGGGCTTAAGTAGCTTGTGTGATAGTTAAGTTCTGTGAGCCAGGTAAAATAATAATAAAAAAAATAAAAAATAAAAATAAAAAAGGGGGTGGTGCCCCCAAGTATAAGGGGGCCTAAGGGATAGGGCCCTACGTGAAGATCCCTGACTGTGTCCTCTCATGGATTCCAGGGACCTTGGTCCATGCACGTGCGGCCGGGTTGTATGTGAAAAAAAAAAAAAAAAAACAAATTTTTTTAAAAATTTAAAAAAAATGGATAAATGAATAAAAATGTGAGTAAATAATGTTGGGAGGGAGTATAATTACGTGAGGATAACTGGCTGCTTGAGGTGGAAGCTATCGCTGCGTAGAAGTGTGTCTCGTGCCTCTCCTCATGCCTCTGTTCCCAGATAAGACTTAAAAGTAACGTAGAGCTTCTATATGGCTATGCTCAGTGCAACAGTAACGAGCACCCGGATGCGCCAACATATGCAGTGTCGCCCTAAGGTCATAAAAGCAATGTCGGTGCGGGCTGTATACATAGTTCTTTACATTCGCGAAGCTCAGGTAATAATTGCAGCATGTCTATGTAAAAATTTAAAAATTAAATCATATAAAGTGTGTAATTATTTCCATATGATGAGAGGCAGTCGTTATGCACATAGGGGCAAGAATTTAAAGTTTGCCCACACAGAGGCGCTTTACCTCGGTGTACAGCCACCGTTTAAATGTTTAGCTTTGCGTGTGTGCGCCAGTGTATGGAACTGGGTTGGGAACTGTGCTCGGATGGCTATCTATCTGTGGAACAGGCAGACTGTTAATGTTTTAATATACAAAAAAAAAAAAAAAGAGAAGAAAAAGCTTATGGTAGTAAGTTAAAAACACAATGTTAAGTCTTTGCTGCCTAGTCAGATGCTCCACAATCTATATTGCCTTGCATATTTATGACTGAAAAGAGCATATAAACAAACACATCGCCTTATGTACGTTGTGACCGCCTAGTCTATTATAATTCTAACTCATGGAATTAAAGAATGCTTATGATTTAAGGGCAACTAACAGTGGTGCATGAGCTTAATTGAGCGATCTAGCGTTCTCTAAATTCTTTAAGTACGTGAATATATATGCTAATAAAGTAGAAGCAAACTTAAAAATGAAAAATGTGAGCTATAAACTGCAGGGTGGCCATGTTAGTCTACATGGCCGTCTCAGGGGAGTCTCTCATGGCACTGCTACCACACCGTCCCCGGGTAGCCAGGCCTCCTTCCGTCCTCCCCATGCCGATCTCAGCTCACCGGTCGGGTCCCTTGTGGCACCGTGGGCACTCAGGAGTGCAAACTGTCCGTTGGACCCCCCCACAAAGTCCGCTGGTTGTCAGCTCCCTGCACCTCCCCAGCTTCACTTGAGTCCCTGGAAGTGTGCGTTCCAATGTCTCACCCGGTGCTGGCCACACATTTGGAGTCGGTGCCCATCCCCCCCGACCACCGGTCCGTCGGGGGGGTAGCGCGGTCCCATCCCACAGGGCTCACGGCTTCGGGGACAGGTCTCTCCGGGGACCCCACAAACCCAGAGGTCTTGGCGCCCACTCCCCAGCGGTCAGTGACACAGCATGGAGGATCCGTCCAGTGCTCGGCCTTACCAGGGCCCGTGCGAGCCGTCCATGCCAGACCCCCCTGATGCCTAGAGTGAATCCTCGGGCGGGCTCTGTCTGACATCCTTTACCCGTTCAGGTGGTTGGCTCGGGCCCCGCGCGGTTTCCTCCGGCTTGGAGTGTGCCGCTTCCATGCGGCCGGGGGGGGGAGCGGAGCCGGGCCGTCATCTGCAACTGTGTGGCCTCCATGTGGGCCTTAAAGCTGGTATACCTTGATCTCTGGGCTGCTGGTCAGTTATCTGTGCCTCTTCAGGGGCTGCCATCATCCAGGCTTATGATGACGAGTAGGCCGCTTTGTTAATTTCGGTGTTCCCGGCCCAAAACCGGCCTCGGTTTGGTATCCCCATAAAGCTTAAATGTTTCTTGTTAAGTATATGTAGCTTATTTCTGCTTTGGGGTGGTCTGAGTGTGGATTTATTGCAGTTTTCCAGGGCTCAGGCCAGGAGCCATGGTGTTCTGCTGCCTTTCAGCTCGGCGGCCCGGCCCCGCCCCCCCCCTGCAAGGGTTTTAACCCCCCTCTCCTCTCCCCTCCCTCCTCCCCCCTTATTATTTATAAAATATGGATTCATTGAGATTGAATCTTTGTCCACAAAACATTGCATTGTTACAATAGGATATATATCTGGATTCCAGTGACAGCCAGTTTAGCTCTTTTTTTTTTTTTTTTTTTTATTTTTCATTGTGCAGTTTCCGACAATACAGCCTCCATAGCCCCAACAGCTTATGCAGGCATAATAATACCATTTTTGTACATCTTCACAGTATTGATGACTTTAACTCGAATTGCACAGATATTTATATTCAAACCATTTAACT